ATAACCCCGTCGCCATCGCCATCGTAGGTCCACTCCGTCATGCAGTCGCAGTCGCCGTTTTCGCCGATCACGAAACTGACCAAGGCCGCGCAAAGGACGGCTGCGAACTCCATGACGATTGATTTGGCCATCGGTAACCGCGCGCCTCTGGGGATTGCAAATTGGATCACGAGGCCAGCGTCGCAATTTTCTCGACTGAACCAAATTTGCTCGAGACGAAATGTCCACGAAGGCTTCTATGTACGCGTTTCGGGAGGCCTCAGGACAGCCATATGGCACAAATGCAATGCTCCTCATCGCGTTCCTCTTCACACCCCCTCGTCATTCCACTCCTCCTCGTCCTGCTTTTCCTTCTGCCCCCCCTCACATCCTCAGAATGATCACATTCGTCCTCATCCTCATCCTCGTCGTCGTCATCTTCATCTTGCTCCTCCAATGTTCCAAGGCCGCCCGAGGACGGCGTCAAGGAAACCGAAAAAGCAGGAGGCAGGACGGCGTTGTGTCAACCGAAGACAGCCACAAAACAACCACGTGACAATGTGATGCCACAACAAACGTTGCTCAAACCGTCACTACATCATGACGCGTCGCATCGTTCGATGGGCACCCGTGCGCGGCTTGCTGACAGGGCCCCCCAACAGCAAGCGCCGCATGTTAACGCATTCGTGTTCTAACTCCTGCTCCTCCTCCTTCTCCATCTCCCCAGAGGACACGAAGTGTCACACATTACTGCCTACTCGTCGCCACCCAGAAAGCTGAGCTCGTACAATGGCGGGACTTGCCACAAGCAGCTGGATAACATCACAGCATCACCATAAGGGCAAAATTAAATATTGTGGCGGACAACAACCACACCATCGCAAACAACCTGGTGTCTCCCCGCTTCCGGGACATCCAACGCTTTAATCCAGCGGGCAATGCTTTCACTGGGGCGCACAGCATATCTGCCGACCCCCGCTTGCCAGGCGTGGGTGACAAGGCACGTGAGATGATTGGCTGCCTCCCTCCCCTGTCCCAGCCCGCTATGGTCCAGGATCAGGGCGTTAGGGTTAGGGTTCTAAGGTTAGGGCAGTAGCGGTAGGGTCTTTGGGTTCGGGTCTTGGGGACTTGTTCTGAGGGTTCGGATATTCCGACTGAGGTCTTACAAATCCGCAGATCTGGCGTGTGAGTTTCAAAGACCCTCAAATATAGCCTGAGCCTCAGTTATTGAGCTTCAGCTCTGCTGGGGGGGGGGCCGGGGGGGCTCTGCCAGGGTAGGGGGGGGGGAGGTCGAATCGACTTTGGTTGCAAAATCGGAGCTCCAGCTCACTCCAGGTCGGCCCCTCGCCCCGGAGAACTCGAACCCGGGCTCATAAAAAACCCAGCGGCCGCCCAGACGGCCCAAGAGGGCCTTGAGTGGCCGAAAGGTCGCCCCAAGACGCTCAATATGTTCCTCAGACGGCTCCAGAAGCCTCCAACGTACCCTCCCGATACCTCCTAAGAGTGCCCAAAGACGGAACGTTTGCCCCACTCCTTTGTCTCGCGCGTGTTGCTCCGAACACTATCCGCCACCGTGCCCCCTGGCGCGTATGGCGCGCTCGAATGCTAAGTGATGTCTGGCGCGGTTTCTGTAAGCTCTAAGGGTTCCCCCTTCGTGGCGCGCATCGCCCGCTCTTCTCGAGGCTCCCTGGGCTCCCTCACGCCTGGCGCACACTCTCCAAGGCGTCCAAGATGCCTTTCATGACAGCCAAGGCAAGCCAAGAAGGCCTCTGAGATGGCCCAAGAGCGTTCAAAGACGGAACAAGATAGACCCAATATGACCCACGATGGCCTCAGGACCGACCAAGAGGCCTGCAAGACGGCCCAAGGAGGTTCCCAAGAAAGTGGTGTTTGTCAATTGGTTTCCATTATGTTCGCATTGTGGTTTGTTTGAGTTTTCGTCGGCTCAAGACGACCCGGGAGGCTTTCAAGACGGCCTCGCGACGGTCCAAAAGGGTCCTTGGAAAGCCCAGGACGGACTCAGCAGGAGTGCCCTTAAGCTGCCCCTAAGGGCATCTGAGGACGCCAGTGGACGTAAGAGGACCCCGACGCCCAAGGAGACTCACGACGGCCCAAGGGAAACCCCAGGGTCTCCAAGACTGCGCCTCGCGATCAAAGGACCACCATCTGATATCCATTGTGGTCCTGCAAAAGTGAAACGACGGTGTCACCTATGGTGGTGTTCCTCTTCGTTTTTGTCGTTGCCCTTCGCGTCCTCATCATCATCACCGCCATGATCGTCATCGACGTCCTCATGATCACCACGATCACCTTCATAACCACAACCACCACAACCATCATCAGCAACATCATCAGCATCATCAAAATCCGCCGGCCCCCTTGTGGGGCCACCAGGCTGTAGGCGCGAGGTTCGCAGTTTCCTGTACCAGTCGTAGGTTGTAGTTTCCAGTGTTACAGTTCTGCTTCTTGCTGGTTACTGTAACTAGTTGATTGACCGCGCGAGGGGGGGGGAGGCCCAAACGGGATTTTTAGCACCCCCTGGGCGCGTTGTCTGAATTGCTGGAGGGGCTCGAAATCGACACCCCTCACACAGATCCGCGGGGTCAGGGTCGAAAAACACATGGGATTTGCCACATTTCTGAAATTCGGTGCCACCCCTCACGCAGATCCGCGGGGTCAGGGTCCAAAAACACATGGGATTTGCCACATTTCTGAAATTCGGTGCCACCCCTCACGCAGATCCGCGGGGTCAGGGTCCAAAAGCACAGGGGATTTGCCACATTTCTGAAAGTCGGTGCCACCCCTCACGCAGATCCGCGGGGTCAGGGTCCAAAAACACATAGGATTTGCCACATTTCTGAAATTCGGTGCCACCCCTCACGCAGATCCGCGGGGTCAGGGTCCAAAAACACATGGGATTTGCCACATTTCTGAAATTCGGTGCCACCCCGCACGCAGATCCGCGGGGTCAGGGTCCAAAAACACATGGGATTTGCCACATTTCTGAAATTCGGTGCCACCCCTCACGCAGATCCGCGAGGTCAGGGTCCAAAAACATACGGGATTTGCCATAATAAATGGGGGGGGGGGGGGTGGGGGGGGGGGGGGGGGGGGGGGGGGGGGGGGGGGGGTGGGGGAAAAATTGGGGTGGGGGGGGGGAGGGGGGGGGGGGGGGGGGTGGGGGGGGGGGGGTAAATTATCTGAAATCGGCGCCACCCCTCACGCAGATCCGCGGGGTCAGGGTCCAAAAACACATGGGATTTGCCACATTTCTGAAATTCGGTGCCACCCCTCACGCACATCAATCGCAAGGCGTGGTAACCCAAACTGCGAGTACTCCCTCGGCCCTTTAATCCCATGGTGTGGTAACCAAGCTCGTAAACCATACACGTCTTACCAATCGCCCTGTGTGGTAACCCCTCTTGTGATCAGTTGGTTTTGCCGATTGCGAATCGGCCTCGCATGAATTTCCGATACTGCTGCACGACAGCGCCAAAGCCTCATGACTTAGCTCTTCCATGGCCCATTCTCCGAGAGAGGGGGCCGGCGGCAGGGGGCGAAGCCCTTACGGATCATCATCGTCGTCGTAATCCTTATCAGCATCAGCATCATCATGAGCATCCTCATCACCATCATCATCGTCATCAACATCACCATCACCATCACCATCATCATCATCATCATCCTCATCATCATCCTCATCATCATCATCATCTTCATCATCATTATCATCACCATCATCATCATCATCATCATCATCATCATCATCATCATCATCATCATCATCATCATCATCATGTTGTTCATCCAACCGATTCCGCCACAATCCCCTTCTCCTCCTCATCATCCTCATCTTCTCCCCGTCATCTTCCTGATCCCCTCATGGTGGTCTTACTCACGACCATCATCCGCGGAACCCAAACCAGAATGATCATCATGATAATCAGTATCATCATCATCATCACCAGCATCACCATCGCCAACATGGCAATCATGCTGACGATGATGCTGGGAGCAACTGCCGCCGACAATGCTGGGCTAGCACGGTGGCGGGACTTGCCGCAGGCACCTGAATAGCTGCGACGAGATGATGGCATCCTCCATTGCTCAGCTGTCTTTCGTGCTATGTATGAAAACGTCAAATATGGCCCGATATGATCCACGATAATCTTCGTCAGGCCCCTATGTGGCCCCCGGAGACGGCGCAATGAGGCCAAGCAAAACTCACAATGTCTTACAGAGGCCACTACGCAACCCCAAAACAGAACAATGTGTCCACGAAGGCTCAGCTGGAAAGAACACAAACCAAACCCAAAAGTAAATATGCAAACAAATTTAGTTCCGATAAGTATGCTATGTATGTAGAACCTGTGTGAAACGCACTGTTTGTTGTAGGATTCCCAATACATGAACGCGTACGAAAACGTAGGTCGACAAGCCGCGGGTGCCTGCTGGAGCCCCGTCGCGCCTTCCCCTTGTCTTAAGGTCAGGGTCTCAGGTTTAGGATTTGATGGCTATGGTCTTAGGGCTAGGGGGTCTTAGGGGGTGTGTATTAGAAATGGGGTCTGCGGGCTAGGGCAAACGGGTTATAGTTGCAGGTTTAGGGTATGAGGCGTATGGCCGTAGGATTAGCACATGAGGGCTGGGGCTTCCGGGCTAGGGCATTCGGCTTGGAGTTCTAGGGCTAGGGCCTTCGGGTTGGGGTCTGCATCATCATCGCCATCATCAACAGGATCATTGTGATCACCATGAACAACCATCAGCACAATGACCAGCATACTCATCAATCATCAACATCGCTATCATCATCATCATTCGCCCAGCCGTCACCAGAGTCATCATCAGCACCATAATCATATTTACCACGATAGACATCATCACTACCATCATCAGAGGCAGCATGACCGCTACCACCACCAACATCATCACCATCACCAGCATAATCATCCGCATCCTCATCATCACAATCAACATCATCATCATCAGCATCACCATCATCGTCACGGTCGCCACATTTACAACCAGCACCCTCAGCATCATTTTCAGCGTCATCCCGTACCAGGGCATGTGTGCGGCTCGCACGCGCTTAAACTATCTTAAATGCGCGTTGCATGCTGGCGGGCATGGCATTGGTAGAATGAAGAAGATGGAGAGGATCAGGAGGGAGCGGAGAGGAAACGGGGGGTAAGGACAATAACGAGGGGCAAAGGATGAGGAGCAGCAGGCAATGAGACAAACAATGAACCAGCCAGCCCAGACAAAAGTCCTCGCGTGGGCCTCACGCGGGCTGCAACAGCGCAGCTGCGCAACAGCAAGTTCGCGGCTCGCGGCGCTTTCAAAGTCAAAATTAAAACCCAGAACTGGTTCGAAGCTTCGAGCCTCGAAAAGGACTCGCTGGATCCTCCCCCCCCCGTCGCCCTCCCCACAGATCTCAAGCAAAATTGGAAGGCAACATGGGAAGCGGCCGTTGGAACGCAGAAGACACTGGGCAGCAGGAGCGGACTCTCCAGTCAGAACAGAACTCTGTCCAGCTCGAACTATAATCCCATGGTCAAGTACTAGATGGCCGCCCCATACGCAGGGGTCATGACCCCCCCCAAGCTCTGCCACATAATTATCTCTGCGCCCCAGCCTCACGCACAGGCGGTCGAAAGAATAACAGCGATGATGGCTGCGGTCATGGTCGGCTCTCCAACGCCTGAGGCACTCTCGATGTCCGGCGCCGGCGTCGGCGAGGGGGTCGACGGGGTGCATTCAAGCCACTTGCGCGTCTCGCCGGCCACGGTGGAGTCCAAGGCCTGGTTGCAGTTAGAGCCGCCCTGCACGTAGCACCACGTCTGGTTCCAGTCGGCCGTGGCGCTGCAGCCCTCGTACGACTCCATAACCCCGTCGGCATCGCCATCGTAGTTCCACTCCGTCATGCAGTTGCAGGAGCCGCACTCGCGCCACTTGCGCGTCTCGCTGGCCACGGTGGAGTCCAGGGCCTGGTCACAATTGGAACCGCCCTGTACGTAGCACCAGCTCTGGTTCCAGTCCGCTGTGGCGCTGCAGCCCTCGTACGACTCCATAACCCCGTCGGCATCGCCATCGTAGTTCCACTCCGTCATGCCAGTTGCAGGAGCGCACTCGCGGCCACTTGCGTGTCTCGCGGCCACGGTGGAGTTCAGGCTTGGTTGCCAATTGGACGCCCTGACGTAGCACCAGCCTCTGGTTGCCGAATCGCGTGGCGCTGCAGCCCTCGTACGACTCGCCAGCGTAGTTCCACTCCGTCATGCAGTTGCAGGAGCCGCACTCGCGCCACTTCCGCGTCTCGCCGGCCACGGTGGAGTCCAGGGCTTGGTTGCAGTTGGAGCCGCCCTGCACGTAGCACCAACTCTGGTCCCAGTCGGCCGTGGCGCTGCAGCCCTCGTACGACTCCATGACCCCGTCGGCATCGCCATCGTAGTTATCCTCTCCACTCGGTCATGCAGTTGCAGGAGCCGCACTCGCGCAACTTGCGCGCTCCGCCAGCCACGGTGAGTCCTGGGCCTGATTGCATTGGAGCCGCCCTGCAGTAGCCACAGTTTGGTCCAGTTCGGCCGTGGCGCTGCAGCCTCGTACGCCTCATAACCCGTCGGCATCGCCATCGTAGTTCCACTCCGTCATGCAGTTGCAGGAGCCGCACTCGCGCCACTTGCGCGTCTCGCCGGCCACGGTGGAGTTCAGGGCTTGGTTGCAATTGGAACCGCCCTGCACGTAGCACCAGCTCTGGTCCCAGTCCGCTGTGGCGCTGCAGCCCTCGTACGCCTCCATAACCCCGTCGGCATCGCCATCGTAGTTCCACTCCGTCATGCAGTTGCAGGAGCCGCACTCGCGCCACTTGCGCGTCTCGCCGGCCACAGTGGAGTTCAGGGCTTGGTTGCAATTGGAACCGCCCTGCACGTAGCACCAGCTCTGGTCCCAGTCCGCCGTGGCGCTGCAGCCCTCGTACGCCTCCATAACCCCGTCGCCATCGCCATCGTAGTTCCACTCCGTCATGCAGTTGCAGGAGCCGCACTCGCGCCACTTGCGCGTCTCGCCAGCCACGGTGGAATTCAGGTACTGGTTGCAATTGGAGCCGCCCTGCACGTAGCACCAGCTCTGGTCCCAGTCGGCCGTGGCGCTGCAGCCCTCGTACGACTCCATAACCCCGTCGGCATCGCCCATCGTTAGTTCACTCGTCATGCAGTTGCAGGAGCCGCACTCGCGCCACTTGCGCGTTCTCCCCAGCACGGTGGAGTCTGGGCCTGGTTGCAATTGGAGCCGCCGCACGTTTAGAGCACCAGCTCTGGTCCCAGTCGTCCGTGGCGCTGCAGCCTCGTACGCCTCCTATAACCGTAGGCATCGCATGTAGTTCCACTCCGTCATTCAGTTGCAGGAGGCCGCACTCGCGCACTTGCCTAGTCTCGCCAGCCACGGTATGGGTCCGGGCCTGGTTGCAATGGGAGCCGCCCTGCACGTCGGCACCAGCTCTGGTCCAATCTGGCCGTGGCGATGCAGCTCCGTACGCCTCCATAAAACCCGGTCGGCTCTGGCACGAGGGGAGGTCCCGTCATGCAGTGCAGGAGCCGCACTCGCGCCACTTGCGCGTCTCGCCGGCCACGGTGGAGTTCAGGGCCTGGTTGCAGTTGGAACCGCCCTGCACGTAGCACCAGCTCTGGTCCCAGTCCGCCGTGGCGCTGCAGCCCTCGTACGACTCCATAACCCCGTCGGCATCGCCATCGTAGTTCCACTCCGTCATGCAGTTGCAGGAGCCGCATTCGCGCCACTTGCGCGTCTCGCCGGCCACGGTGGAGTTCTGGGCTTGGTTGCAATTGGAACCGCCCTGTACGTAGCACCAGCTCTGGTTCCAGTCCGCTGTGGCGCTGCAGCCCTCGTACGACCCATAACCCCGTCGGCATCGCCATCGTAGTTCCACTCCGTCATGCAGTTGCAGGAGCCGCACTCGCGCCACTTGCGCGTCTCGCCGGCCACGGTGGAGTTCTGGGCTTGGTTGCAATTGGAACCGCCCTGCACGTAGCACCAGCTCTGGTTCCAATCCGCCGTGGGGCTGCAGCCCTCGTACGCCTCCATAACCCCGTCGGCATCGCCATCGTAGGTCCACTCCGTCATGCAGTCGCAGTCGCTGTTTTCGCCGATCACGCAACTGACCAAGGCCGCGCAAAGGACGGCTGCGAACTCCATGACGATTGATTTGGCCATCGGTAACCGCGCGCCTCTGGGGATTGCAAATTGGATCACGAGGCCAGCGTCGCAATTTTCTCGACTGAACCAAATTTGCTCGAGACGAAATGTCCACGAAGGCTTCTATGTACGCGTTTCGGGAGGCCTCAGGACAGCCATATGGCACAAATGCAATGCTCCTCATCGCGTTCCTCTTCACACCCCCTCGTCTTTCCACTCCTCCTCGTCCTGCTTTTCCTTCTGCCCCCCCTCACATCCTCAGAATGATCACATTCATCCTCATCCTCATCCTCGTCGTCGTCATCTTCATCTTGCTCCTCCAATGTTCCAAGGCCGCCCGAGGACGGCGTCAAGGAAACCGAAAAAGCAGGAGGCAGGACGGCGTTGTGTCAACCGAAGACAGCCACAAAACAACCACGTGACAATGTGATGCCACAACAAACGTTGCTCAAACCGTCACTACATCATGACGCGTCGCATCGTTCGATGGGCACCCGTGCGCGGCTTGCTGACAGGGCCCCCCAACAGCAAGCGCCGCATGTTAACGCATTCGTGTTCTAACTCCTGCTCCTCCTCCTTCTCCATCTCCCCAGAGGACACGAAGTGTCACACATTACTGCCTACTCGTCGCCACCCAGAAAGCTGAGCTCGTACAATGGCGGGACTTGCCACAAGCAGCTGGATAACATCACAGCATCACCATAAGGGCAAAATTAAATATTGTGGCGGACAACAACCACACCATCGCAAACAACCTGGTGTCTCCCCGCTTCCGGGACATCCAACGCTTTAATCCAGCGGGCAATGCTTTCACTGGGGCGCACAGCATATCTGCCGACCCCCGCTTGCCAGGCGTGGGTGACAAGGCACGTGAGATGATTGGCTGCCTCCCTCCCCTGTCCCAGCCCGCTATGGTCCAGGATCAGGGCGTTAGGGTTAGGGTTCTAAGGTTAGGGCAGTAGCGGTAGGGTCTTTGGGTTCGGGTCTTGGGGACTTGTTCTGAGGGTTCGGATATTCCGACTGAGGTCTTACAAATCCGCAGATCTGGCGTGTGAGTTTCAAAGACCCTCAAATATAGCCTGAGCCTCAGTTATTGAGCTTCAGCTCTGCTGGGGGGGGGGCCGGGGGGGCTCTGCCAGGGTAGGGGGGGGGGAGGTCGAGTCGACTTTGGTTGCAAAATCGGAGCTCCAGCTCACTCCAGGTCGGCCCCTCGCCCCGGAGAACTCGAACCCGGGCTCATAGAAAACCCAGCGGCCGCCCAGACGGCCCAAGAGGGCCTTGAGTGGCCGAAAGGTCGCCCCAAGACGCTCAATATGTTCCTCAGACGGCTCCAGAAGCCTCCAACGTACCCTCCCGATACCTCCTAAGAGTGCCCAAAGACGGAACGTTTGCCCCACTCCTTTGTCTCGCGCGTGTTGCTCCGAACACTATCCGCCACCGTGCCCCCTGGCGCGTATGGCGCGCTCGAATGCTAAGTGATGTCTGGCGCGGTTTCTGTAAGCTCTAAGGGTTCCCCCTTCGTGGCGCGCATCGCCCGCTCTTCTCGAGGCTCCCTGGGCTCCCTCACGCCTGGCGCACACTCTCCAAGGCGTCCAAGATGCCTTTCATGACAGCCAAGGCAAGCCAAGAAGGCCTCTGAGATGGCCCAAGAGCGTTCAAAGACGGAACAAGATAGACCCAATATGACCCACGATGGCCTCAGGACCGACCAAGAGGCCTGCAAGACGGCCCAAGGAGGTTCCCAAGAAAGTGGTGTTTGTCAATTGGTTTCCATTATGTTCGCATTGTGGTTTGTTTGAGTTTTCGTCGGCTCAAGACGACCCGGGAGGCTTTCAAGACGGCCTCGCGACGGTCCAAAAGGGTCCTTGGAAAGCCCAGGACGGACTCAGCCAGGAGTGCCTGAAGCTGCCCCTAAGGGGCCTCTGGAGGGACTCCAGAGGACGTAAGAGGACCCCTGGACGGCCCAAGGCAGACTCACGACGGCCCAAGGGAAACCCCAGGGGCTCCAAGACTGCGCCTCGCGAGCAAAGACGCACCAACTGATATCCATGTGGTCCTGCAAAAGTGAAACGACGGTGTCACCTATGGTGGTGTTCCTCTTCGTTTTTGTCGTTGCCCTTCGCGTCCTCATCATCATCACCGCCATGATCGTCATCGACGTCCTCATGATCACCACGATCACCTTCATAACCACAACCACCACAACCATCATCAGCAACATCATCAGCATCATCAAAATCCGCCGGCCCCCTTGTGGGGCCACCAGGCTGTAGGCGCGAGGTTCGCAGTTTCCTGTACCAGTCGTAGGTTGTAGTTTCCAGTGTTACAGTTCTGCTTCTTGCTGGTTACTGTAACTAGATGATTGACCGCGCGAGGAGGGGGGGAGGCCCAAACGGGATTTTAGCACCCCCTGGGCGCGTTGTCTGAATTGCTGGGGGGGCTCGAAATCGACACCCCTCACGCAGATCCGCGGGGTCAGGGTCCAAAAACACATGGGATTTGCCACATTTCTGAAATTCGGTGCCACCCCTCACGCAGATCCGCGGGGTCAGGGTCCAAAAACACATGGGATTTGCCACATTTCTGAAATTCGGTGCCACCCCTCACGCAGATCCGCGGGGTCAGGGTCCAAAAACACATGGGATTTGCCACATTTCTGAAATTCGGTGCCACCCCTCACGCAGATCCGCGGGGTCAGGGTCCAAAAACACAAGGGATTTGCCACATTTCTGAAATTCGGTGCCACCCCTCAAAAACGCAGATTTGCCATTTCTGAAATTCGGGGTCAGGGTCCAAAAACACAGGGGATTTGCCACATTTCTGAAATTCGGTGCCACCCCTCACGCACATCCATCGGGGTAACCCAAACTGCGAGTATCCGGCCCTTCTTGTGTGACAAGCTCGTAAACCATACACGTCTTACCAATCGCCTGTGTGGTAACCCTCTTGTGATCAGTTGGTTTTGCCGATTGCGAATCGGCCTCGCATGAATTTCCGATACTGCTGCACGACAGCGCCAAAGCCTCATGACTTAGCTCTTCCATGGCCCATTCTCCGAGAGAGGGGGCCGGCGGCAGGGGGCGAAGCCCTTACGGATCATCATCGTCGTCGTAATCCTTATCAGCATCAGCATCATCATGAGCATCCTCATCACCATCATCATCGTCATCAACATCACCATCACCATCATCATCATCATCATGTTGTTCATCCAACCGATTCCGCCACAATCCCCTTCTCCTCTTCATCATCCTCACCTTCTCCCCGTCATCTTCCTGATCCCCTCATGGTGGTCTTACTCACGACCATCATCCGCGGAACCCAAACCAGAATGATCATCATGATAATCATTATCATCATCATCACCACAATCACCATCGCCAACATGGCAATCATGCTGACGATGATGCTGGGAGCAACTGCCGCCGACAATGCTGGGCTAGCGCGGTGGCGGGACTTGCCGCAGGCACCTGAATAGCTGCGACGAGATGATGGCATCCTCCATTGCTCAGCTGTCTTTCGTGCTATGTATGAAAACGTCAAACATGGCCCGATATGATCCACGATAATCTTCGTCAGGCCCCTATGTGGCCCCCGGAGACGGCGCAATGAGGCCAAGCAAAACTCACAATGTCTTACAGAGGCCACTACGCAACCCCAAAACAGAACAATGTGTCCACGAAGGCTCAGCTGGAAAGAACACAAACCAAACCCAAAAGTAAATATGCAAACAAATTTAGTTCAGATAATTATGCTATGTATGTAGAACCTGTGTGAAACGCACTGTTTGTTGTAAGATTCCCAATACCTGAACGCGTACGAAAACGTAGGTCGATAAGCCGGGCGCTTCATACCCGCGCGCGTTCATCTCTCATAAATTCGCTTTTTGTAATGCAAGTCTGAAAACAAAAAAGGACGTTACCTGTAATTTCAAAAGCATCGGCCGCACATAGTGATGATAAGCGTCATCCACCTGCCAGAGGAAAGCAGTGTGTCCTTATTAATATGGATGCATGAATATTCGGCTGATCGCCTCGGCTGAAAAACCTATAACGATTAATTTACGCCGTCGCTGTTGAACGTGATGGTGATGATGGTATGGTGACGCGAAGGGGAAATCGACGGCCAAAGATGAGAGGATGTCCAAGGCGAGACTGGCCCGACCACCTCACGGCAGGGGATCTCTGAACCCAGAGTTGCGAAGATATCGCAGTCGAGACTGGCCCGACGACGTCAGGCCAGGGGATCTCCAAACCCAGAGTTGCGAGGATGTCTCAGGCGGAATTGGCTGGACCACCTCGCGCGGGGCATCCCTGAGCCAAAGGATGGAAGAATCTCTCGGGCGAGACTGGCCCGACCACCTCCGGTCAAAGGATAACTGAGCCCGGAGTTGCGAAGATGTCTTAAGCGAAACAGGACGGACCACCTCGAACCTGAACGGACCTCGGACGGACCAACTCGTGTGGGGCGTCTTGGTAAAGTATCGGGGGGGAACGGGGGAGGAGGGCGGGAGGGCAGGTGTAGAGAACAGGAAGGAAGGGGGAAGGAAAGAGGGATTGGGAAAACTCAGCCCTGGGGGACTGTGGATTCGTCGAGTGCATCCTGATGGAGAGGTGGTCGAGGAGGGAAGGGGGAGGGACGGACGAAAAGAGGAAGGAGGGGAAGTGGGCGGAGGGAGAGGAATGGGGAGGAGGGACGGAGAAAACTCTGCATTGGGGGACTGTGGACTTATCGAGTGTAGCCCCCCCCCCCAAAAAAAAATGCAATCAATCCCTGGCGCGTTCCAAATTGCCACCGAACTCTAGAGTGCCAACCGCAAGCGTAATTACGAATCGCAGAACTCGAGTAACGTGCCTACGAAATTCAACGACACGCGCATCCATGAAAACATGAACATACCTGGTAAGCCCAAAAACAGACATCCTCGTCGCATGACTTTCTTCTTAAAAGGAAGCACCATGTATTTAGAGTACCGCCCAACCACGAAATGCTACCAAATAGATTCCAGTACGACACGTCAAACCCTGCACACGCCTATGCAAATGCACAACAGCCGTCCCTAGAGAAAACATACCCTTCGGATCAAATAGCCCATACATGCCCAACCGAAAAACCACTGCACCTTTTTTTTCCTCCGCGCGACGACGGCGGCACGGCGACGGCGACGGC